GAGAGAGAGAGAGAGAGAGAGAGAGAGAGGTCTTTCTCTCCACTCCTCCTTTCACTCCACCTTCATTCTTGTGACCATGTGTGAGCCCTTTCTCTTTAAAATCTTGTACTTCTACAGAATCCTTGGACCGTTGAAATTCAACTGGAGACCACCCAATCTGAAATGTTTAATGTATATAAGTAACAGGTTGCAGAACTAACAATAGGTTGACAACCACTCCTATATACGTATAACAAATACTGTGTATCACCAAAATATGTATCATTATCGATCGACATAAGCACACTGTTGATCAAGCATATATACCTTTAGTGGAAAATTCAGTAACCAATCTAGTCCCCAAGTGCACAACATCAGAGAGCTGCAAAGATAATCAATCTCATCTATGTTCAAACTTCAACGAGATATGCAACACTCCCTAAAAACCGAGGTATTCAACACTACCTTTGAGAAGCAATTTCTCTGTTCATTCCTCGGTGAAGAACCAACCAGCCCACAACCGTCATTGGAGATAGGCAATTCCTCTGCCCGTCAAACCCATTGCCACCCCAGAGAAAAAAGGGAAAGATCCAAGAGAAAAAAGCAGGGAAGAGGCCAGGCGTGGCTGCTCTGCTCCCGCCGAATCAGCCACACCAACCTGTCGCTCAATCCTTTCCCTGCCAAATCGGCCGCTGACGCTTGTTGTTGACACTGCTACTTGCTTCGCTCCTCTTGATCCCGTCTCCTTCCGCCACCTCGCTCCTCCTCCTCCCATCACCGCAATCAAATTAGGAGAGACGAGAGAGAGGCAGCGGCGTCCGACGGGGAGAGAGAGAGATCGGAGAGGCGGCGACGACGTCGCGTAGATGGCTTGCAGGGCGAGCGTGTCTGGACCGGGAAGGAGGTGAGAGTGAGACGCGATGGGTATGACCGTATGAGTGTGTTCGGCATATCTACCGAAGATGGTGGCGGAGCCAGGCGATGGTGGTCGTCACCTTACTCCAGCAGATGCCTGGACGGCGAGATCCACTGACCCCATGACCGACCACGAACCGGAGGAGGGCCGGGGCGTGGTAGCAGGCGACTGCTGCTGCTAGCGGAGAGCAGGAGACCCAACATGCACTCGATGAGCTCCCACGACGCCTGGCGGGGCGTGGCCGCGTGGGGATGGTGATGGCGGCGGTGGCTGCTCGAGGCTGCGCAGAGAGAGCGTCTCTTCATCAAGGGGATCAAATGCGAGGCTGCGGGCTCGTAGGGATCGTGGAAGGAGCGCATGCGTCGTGGGGCTCGCGTGGACAAAAGGGTGTAGGATCGATCGTGGGAAAAAAGGATCAGTTTTCGCGTACGTGGGCTGAGTGGCATGTTTTTTGGGCTGCTGCGATCGTGGCCCTCGCGTGACGCTGAGGGTTTTTCGTCAATCGCTGTCGTAGGTGGGAAGGAGGAGGTCGAACCATCACGACGTTCGATTCTCTTTTAATAGTAGAGATCTTTATTTTTCGTGCTTTCCTTACTGAGCCGGTTGGTGGGCCGGCCCGCTAGGGGTCGCTAGCGATCGCCGGTAGCGCCAACCGGCGCCTGCGGCGCTGATTAGGGCATGGTCAATGCATAGCCCTAGGGTGATGCCTCACATGCCATGTAGGATCAGATAACAGAAAAAATAGGTTCGAATGGGGAAGCGGGATCTTTTTGAGGCAGGTGCTTAGAGAAAAAAGTGTGGTCCAGTGCATAAAGTTGAAAAAGTTGAAGTGGAGAGGAGGGATGCACGTGTAGTGAGAGTCACTTTCTATTTTTTGACGAGGCCCACTAGTAGTAGCTTACATTGAGGAGAAAAAATCAACACGTATATCTCAAATTACTTTTTATCATGAAGTATCTGTATCCATATGCCATGATTGTACATGCGCCTTAGGAGCACCCGCTGGGAGAGCTGGCGCTACCGAGGCGGCATCCCTGCTTTGATCTGGGATTCGGAACCCATCGCGTGTTTCTGGGTCCGTTGGGAGGATGCTTGTTGACGGAGTTTGGACTGGCACGGCAGGTTAATGGTAACGTCAGGCCAATTAGATCACGACTCCCATTGATTTCTTGATGGTCAAATATTGTCTTCTTTTTTTATCATGCTTCCTTCGTTTCTAAATATAAGTCTTTAGAGATTTTAATATAAACTACATATGAAGCAAAATAGGTAAATCTGCATTCTAACATATGTCTATATTCATCTATATATAGTCCATATTTAATAAATCTCTAAAAGACTTATATTTAGAACGGAAAAGACGGAAATTCAATTCGGCTCTCGGGAGCACATGCTTGCGTGCCAAAAATAATTTTTGAAATGTCAAAAAAAAAATAAGACAAACTTTTATGTGTTCTTAATCACATCCAAATGCTATCTGTAAATTTTGAGGCAAAAAGATTAAGCATTTTGGCCCGTGTAAAAAAAAATTGAACACCAAATGTACCCCAAATTTGTTTTCTTTTCACAGATGAAACACTGCTACTCCGTTTCGCATGAAAATTGTCAAGTATGCTTGCGACACTAACCTGAATATCCACAAAAAATTCAGATTTTTTAAAATACTATTTTGTCGCTTTACTCATCCGGCAGCATGTGCTCTTGGGAGCCAAAACTTCCCTCCCAGAGCAGGGAAGAGAGTAGTATACATGCACTGTTTTCTTTGCTAGTGCTTGAGAGCGGCAATCGAGCAGCCATGCTGTCACAATGTGGTAGGCAGTAAATGAGTGATCCTGCTTGTTTGCGTGCAGCGCAGGGGTGCACGTGCAGTCCAAGATACGACCGGCGCCGCCCCCGCCGCCAGCGGTGCCGTGCGTTGCTCCTTAGACTGGAAAGATCGAGGGCTGCTAGAAAAGTTCGAGGCTCGTGAGCCGTTTGAAATCAACTTGTTTTTTGGCTTGACTCAAGATCGACTCAAAAAGAAACGAGCTGGACACTTTCTGTAGCTTGATCGAGAAACGAGCCGATCTTGATTTAATACTGGCTCGCTCAATTTTAGCTCGATAGTTTGGCATAATATCATTATGTAAATAATCATGTCATATATTAAATGGAAATAGGATAATTTATTACCATATAGGTTGTCTAGGTTTTTGCTCTATTTTATTACCAGCAAATATGGAAGCATAATTAAGTGTAGAGAAAATTCAAGCCCGGTTATGTGGTATGTGGTCGGCCGTGTGTTAAATATCCTGTCATTTCTGCTAGAAGTTCCAAGCATATGCACCTTCTTTTTTCTTTTCTTTCGTCCATGAAGATGAGCTCTCCCGAGCATGATGAGATGGGCGTACCTTCAGTTAGAGTTAGCCGTTTTTCACTTTCATGTCATAATGTTGGCACTATAGTTTATAAATAAATAAAGGGTCTTTGAACAATATTTGGACTGGAATAATATTTTGTAGTGCTTTTTATGTCATGTTGTGCCTTATTGAGTTGCAATAATAGTTGTAGATTTTACAATTTTTATCGTCTTATTTAGCTCAAAGCTAGTTCAAGATCGACTTGAAATCGTTTCAAGCTGAGCAAGAGACATCTTCTACAACTCGACCTTGAACTGCAGTCAGTATGAGCTCGCTCGAATTATAATATGAGTTGAGCTGAGCCAAGTCCAACTCACTCAAACTCGACTCGTTTGCAGTCCTAATCATGCATGGAGTACGACGAAAACCCCGATGACGGCAATAGCGTCGTGCATGCACGGATGCCAACAACCGGCGTGGTTTGTTAATGGTTGCTCAAGGTTCGTTGGCCCCGGGATGAATGGATCCACCAGCTCCATAGCCTCGCAAAAATAAGTGTGCTCGCAGATCTATCCATCGTCGGGCGTACTATCCCAGCATGACAGGCACACCGGCCACCATAGAACGTGCAGAAAGAAAAAGGATTCCTAAAATGGCGTAATAATTATACGATGAGGGGCCATATCACTTTGCGTACGCTGGTCGAAGAATCGTGGAAATGATGAACACTTCTGCCCATCACCAAGCTTGAGCAGTACGTATTGCCCGGCCCACTTCTGCACAATACACATAGAATGAAACGATGGACATCTCAATGAAATGAAGATGGGTAGATGAATCAGAAGCCGGCCAGGTCGCTCTCTCCTTGAAACCAAAAGGTTCTCTACGAAATGACGTCGGGCTGTCACTCATTGCTCTGTTTTATAATACAGTATAATAAACACTGTCGGTGGGTGAATCAGCGAGCGCAGCCCAACGTTGACGATGAAACCCAGTCGAACGCCTATTTATACCAGAGCATATGACACGAGAAGATTCAACCATGAAAGCCATGGCGTCATCGCCGGCGGCTAAGCCTAAGCCCACCACCACCCTCCGCGTGGCCGCCTTCAGCGGCTCCCTCCGCAAGGGCTCGTGGCACGGCGGCCTCATCCGCGCGGCCCAGGAGCTGTGCGAGGAGTCCATCCCGGCAGTGGCGGAGCTACCATAAAAAGGTTGGGCGGGCCAGACACTGCAAAGTGTGCTACCAAACTGCAATGTTATGGGTTGGGCTTCCTATAAAATGTTTTTTCCCTTCGGTCCTGGGCGGGCCATGGCCTATCTGGCCTTGTTGTAGCTCCGCCGGTGCATCCCGGGGCTGCGAATCGACCACGTCGACATCTCCGGCCTGCCGATGGCGAACCCGGACCTGGAGACGGACGACGGCGACGGCTTCCCGCCAGACGTCGAGGCGTTCCGCGACAGGGTCCGCGCCGCCGACTGCTTCCTCTTCGCCTCGCCCGAGTACAACTACTCCGTCACCGCCACGCTGAAGAACGCGCTGGACTGGGCGTCGAGGGGCAAGCACAAGGGATGGGCGGACAAGGCGGCGGCCATCGTCTCCGCGGGCGGCAGCTGCGGCGGGGGCAGGGCGGCGTTCCACCTCCGCCAGATCGGGGTGTTCCTCGACATCCACTTCATCAACAAGCCGGAGCTCCAGGTCAGGGCGTACGAGGACCCGCCCAAGTTCGACGCCGACGGGAACCTCGTCGACGCCGAGACCAGGGAGCGGCTCAAGCAGGTGCTCCTCTCGCTGCAGGCCTTTGCGCTCCGGCTCCAACATTAATTAGGGCTGGGTGGCTGCGTCAATCCCACATTCCCACAAAGCCATAAAAATCCACATTTGGAGTCGTGTTGTGACTGTGTTTGTCTACATTTCACATCAACCGATGTAATGATTTTTTTTCTTCTCTTTTTTATTCTCAATACAATGCTACAATGTTCTGATCACTTTTTGTTGTGTGTTTGTTGTGATCCGAATTGTGAGTTTATAATTAATTTTATTTATGAATATTATTTGAGTCTTCTTTGATCTCTTATATGCATGACTATTATAGCCTTGTATTTCTTCTTCAAAACTTTGATTTGGTTTGGTCAACTAGATTGATTTTCATAGATAAAACTAACTAAGAGGTGATCCTCACGCTGCAGGCCTTTGCGCTCCAGCTCCAACACTAACTAGGAGGAGCGGATGACTGAGCGAAGAAGAAACTTGGCAGTTGGCACCGTACGTTACCTAAATGTTAATCTGCATTTCCTTTGGGTGTTGGATATGTATGTATTGTTCACTATTTCACTTTTTTTAGGGTTTAATTTTCACTTTTGAAGTTGTGTATGTGGTTCTGTAAGAAAGAGTAGCGCTGCTAATGCTACTCCCTCCGGTCCTTTTTACTTCGCATATTAGATTTGTATCAAGTCAATCTTTGGAAAGTTTGACCAAATTTATATTAAAAACTATCAACATCTACAATATCAAATATATAGTATGAAATTACATTTCATAATGAATCTAACAATGTTGATTTAGCATTATGAATGCTGATACTTTTTTCTATAAGTTTGGTCAAAGTAAAGATACTTTGACTTCAGACAAAATTTATATGCAGACTAAGAGCATCTCCAACAGTCGCCCAGCGCGTCGCGCGCTAAAAACTACTTTGCCGCGCGCGCTTCGCCTGGTTTTGCGCGGCCTGCAACGCTGACTCCAACACCCGCGCAAAAATGCAGCGCGCGCTGCTCCAGCAGCACGCAAAAAATCAGCGTGCGCGACTCGCCGGGCATTGCATATATTGCATTTTGGACACAAATGGATTTCAAACATTCAAAAAGCAATGAACATGACATATAAATTTCACACAAACAAGTTGATGAATAAAAGTTCATGCCCACAAGTTCAAAATCATGCCCACAAGTTCATCCAACCAAGTTCATGACATAAACGAAAGACACATCAAGCCTCATCTTCGTCTTCGTTCTCATCTTCGGAAGACGATTCTTCCTCTTCCGAAGATGATTCTTCCTCCTCCTCATCGCGCACCGCATCACGTGAAGCTCCGATGGTGTTGGCAAGATCTTCAACGGCATCTTCATGAGAATGTGTGTGAGGAGGCACACCGGAAGACATTCCGCCCATGGCGGCCGGAGGTGGACCCATGCCTCCCATGAGAGAAGCAAAACTCATGCCTCTCATGGCGGCCATTGCGCCCGGGGGTGCTCCAAAACCACCCATGCCACCCATGCCTTCCATGGTAGCTCCAAAGCCGCCCATGGCATCTAAGCCGCCCACGTTACCTTTGAAGCCACCCATGCCTCCCATGCCGCCAAGGCCACCGCCACCCATGCCGCGAACCATGGCTCTTGCCGTGAGTTTGTCACGGCAGATGTCCTCGTGAAAAGACTTAGTCGTGGAGCCATCGCTACGGGTTAGCTTAGAGGGGTTAAACCGGACAAGGGACACGAGGGTTTTTATACTAGTTCGGCCCCTTCGATGAAGGTAAAAGCCTATGTCTAGTTGTGTTTGGTATTGCTGGGGACTTGATGACCAGGGAGCGAATCCGCTTTGCCTGGCTCTCGAGTTGTTGTGTGTGTTGTCCCTAAACTATTGCCGGGTCGTCCCTTTATATACATAGGCTGACGCCCGCCGGTTTACAGAGTCCCGAGGCCGGATCATAAACGTGTCCGGCTCGGTCTCTATCCTCCCTATCTTACAATGCAAGTTACATAATAAGATCGGTTTACATCTACAGGCCTTAACTCGCCTTTGGGCCTTGGGCCTTCGTAAAGCGCCATCATCATTACATCTTCATGGGCTTCTAATCTTCACAAGGTTTAAAATCTGGCTACTCCTGGCCGGTTTACGTCCAGTAGGCATATCCCCAACATTAGGCCCCAGATTGGTTTGAACCTGTTCATGTCAATCTTCAATACTTAGAAAAATTCTTCCCTTGCATCTTCACCTTGATCTTGTAAACCGTTGTGACGTCATACTTTAGGATCATGTTAAATCACCATGACGTCATCTTGTTATTAAAAATGATACATCTCACCTTCAGTTAATGAGCCTCCAACAATCGAGGCAACCGCTCCTGTTAAGCATCAATATTCCGACTCCTTGATTCTCGCGCCTGTCACCTTCCCCCTTTACCTTATAAATAGGGCCAAGGGTCATTTCCTTTTTCTCCTCCGTCTCTTCGCTCCTTCTTCCTCCTCGCGACGCCCCTGTACCTGAGCGCCGCCGCCGTCGCCAAGCTCCGCCTCTGCCTCTCCGTTGGCTGCTGCATCAACCTGGTTGCATCAAAAAAGCGCGGCGCATCACTGCTACCTCAACCTGTTGCGGTAAACTTCCCCTCTTTTCTCTGTAGATCCGTTAGGGTTCATGCAGGTTCCTGTTGCTTTCTTCGTGTTCTTCGTCAACCCATAGTCAGTAGAACTTGACCTTGATATATTCCGTATAGTAGCTATGAAACTCCTTATCTCAACCATTTGATCCAATCTTTAAGTACATCATAACTTGATTTGGACTTTTCGTGAACTGCTTCAGGACCAAGTTTTTAAATCTCAATATTTTTCCTTTTCCTGACATACAGTAGATCCAAAATCTCACTGCAGTCTTGTGAACCCTATTTTACCTTACTTAGTCATTCTTGCCTTAGATCTGTATTTTTTATCACATAGACGGTTTACCCTTGTGGAGAGTAATCTGTTATATACCATTAGTCCCCTTGTAAACCGGCAATCCCTTTATCTCCGTTGTCATACTCCGGTTTAATAGTACATGTATACCTCCGTTTCTACTCATCGCTTTGTCATTCATAACTGTATTAGCCTCCGGTTTACCAATTCCACATACTTATGCATCACCATGAATGAATTGTAAACCGGCATTTCTTTTCAGCTTTTCACTTGCAATGGCCAAGCAGTTTTATTCCTGCAACTGGGCTCCCTCCCGGGTTACCGAGGAGCAACTTAATGGAATGGTCAAAATTGGTACTTTACCAAAAAAGAATGAGATCCGGTGGCGAGTTCCTGGACCGGAGAACCCTCCTACTCCCAAGCAGGGTGAAGTAGTGGTGTTTGTTGATCACATAGAACGTGGTTTCAAACTGCCCGAATCGAAGTTTTTCCGGGATGTGCTTGCCAGTTTTCAGCTCCACCCTCAAGATATTGGACCCAACTCGGTATCCAATATATGCAAGTTCCAAGTCTTCTGTGAAGTGTACCTACAAGAAGAGCCAACTGTTGAGTTGTTCCGAGACTTCTTCCATCTGAACCGGCGCATTGAGTTTGTAGACGGTCCCAATACTGAACTTGGCGGCGTCTCCATTCAGAAAAGGAAAGAAGTTGAATTTCCTCATGCTAAGCTGCACAGTCACCCCAAAGAATGGAACCAAACTTGGTTCTATTGTAAAGACACCTCCCCTGAAGATGAGAACCCTTTGTCGGGTTACCGTGCTCACCGGCTCGCCAATACTCATCCACTGCTGCAACGTCTAAGTGCCCAGGAACGGTCCTCATATGCCCCTCAACTCGCCAAGCTCCGAGCCTTTATGGCCAACGGTTTATCAGGTGTAGACTTTGTTCGCTGCTGGATATCCTGGAGCATCCTGCCATTAAGTCGCTGCACCGGTTTAATGTGCGAGTATACTGGCAAAGTAGAAGACTCCCAACGTCATATCTGAAGGAAATATGCCCTAGAGGCAATAATAAAGTTATTATTTATTTCCTTATATCATGATAAATGTTTATTATTCATGCTAGAATTGTATTAACCAGAAACATAATACATGTGTGAATACATAGACAAACTTAGTGTCACTAGTATGCCTCTACTTGACTAGCTCATTGATCAAAGATGGTTATGTTTCCTAACCATGAACAAAGTGTTGTTATTTGATTAATGAGGTCACATCATTAGTTGAATGATCTGATTGACATGACCCATTCCATTAGCTTAGCACCCGATCGTTTAGTATGCTGCTATTGCTTTCTTCATGACATATACATGTTCCTATGACTATGAGATTATGCAACTCCCGTTTGCTGGAGGAACACTTTGGGTGCTACCAAACGTCACAACGTAACTGGGTGATTATAAAGGAGCATTACAGGTGTCTCCAAAGGTACATGTTGGGTTGGCATATTTCGAGATTAGGATTTGTCACTCCGATTGTCGGAGAGGTATCTCTGGGCCCTCTCGGTAATGCACATCACATAAGCCTTGCAAGCATTACAACTAATGAGTTAGTTGCGAGATGATGTATTACGGAACAAGTAAAGAGACTTGCCGGTAACGAGATTGAACTAGGTATTGGAATACCGACGATCGAATCTCGGGCAAGTAACATACCGATGACAAAGGGAACAACGTATGTTGTTATGCTGTCTGACCGATAAAGATCTTCGTAGAATATGTAGGAGCCAATATGGGCATCCAGGTCCCGCTATTGGTTATTGACCGGAGACGTGTCTCGGTCATGTCTACATTGTTCTCGAACCCGTAGGGTCCGCACGCTTAAGGTTACGATGACAGTTATATTATGAGTTTATGCATTTTGATGTACCGAAGGTTGTCCGGAGTCCCGGATGTGATCAAGGACATGACGAGGAGTCTCGAAATGGTCGAGACATAAAGATTGATATATTGGAAGCCTATGTTTGGATATCGGAAGTGTTCCGGGTGAAATCGGGATTTTACCGGAGTACCGGGAAGGTTACCGGAACCCCCCGGGAGCTAAATGGGCCATGATGGGCCTTAGTGGAAAAGAGAAGAGGCAGCCCTACATGGGC